TATTTAAATGTTAGACAATGGCATAACAAAGTGCCGACACATGCCACTAGCTAAGGTAAATGAACAGAAGTGTAAAAGCACAACATGGCATTTGCAAGACAAAATGGTATCAGAGCTTTTGCTTTTCAAAGTCTCTGAAAGGTTTTCAAAAACTAGTTTAATTGACTTGTGTAAAAAAAATCGTGTAAACAAATGTATTGATCACAATTATATACATGACATTAACCAAAAAACAATGTTGAAGTGTCTTTTGGTTGATATGGGTATTGATGGAAAAAATGAAGCCTGAAATATAAACAAATGACTCACAATCCAATACCAATTAAGGGAAATTAAAGTTTATATTATATAGCAAACTTGAATGACAATTAGTATGATTACATTCAACATAGACAAATGGCAAATTTTGAAATAACATTGGTATAGCAGTGTGTAATCATATTATTAAAGCAGTGAATAAAGTGACAGTGACGCATGTTCGGTTGTCTGCAGCCTAAATACAAGTACTTTTATTATGTATGTAGCCAAGACAGGTGAACACTTCATGACTGCATATGCATAGGAATGCTATTTCGACAACTCTTCTTATTGTGTCCAAGCTTGTGGCAGTGAGAGCATCGTTGCCATTTTGAACCATTGAACTCTATAACTAAAGGTATTTTAGACTTCTTGGGACGTCATGGAGGTCTCCTCACACAAGTGGGAGGCTTGCAACACACGATAGCAATGTGTGAAGGCACACACTATGAGTGTTGGTATGGAATTGGGTGGAATGTACCGATTTAAGTAGACATCCACATATCACGAGAATAATATCACAACATGAAAGGCTGGGTCGCATACAAATAGAAGCTACTGCATGAACACAAGTAAATTGGTCTAACTGGAAAGCACCGCATGTGCATGTTTTGTGAGTCAGATTAACAACAAATGATCTGCACTTTCTGTCTACAACTTCAAATTCAAAAAAGAAGAAGATGGCTTCACCTACAATCACATATTAAGGAAATTTTGTTAGTGTGAGATATATGCGGTGAGATATAAATGAAACTATACATAATGATGAGTACATGGCAATAAAAATGTATTAGTTATGAAATGTAATGAATGACATAAAAATACAGACCTGCAGCCACGTAGATTGAGATTGCAAAGCCACTAAACAACTTTCACACTTGTTGGATAAAAGTGTGGATGTTTTAAATAATGTTTCACTTCTTTCAGTAAATCATTGTTGCATCTGTTGGCTTAAAAAGTCAATTAGCTTAGGAAAGGAATATTCTCGAGCATATACGTTAACATATTCAATGACTCAGCACAACATGAGGTGTGCTAGAGTATTGTCCCACACCAGAAAGTTATAAAACAATATAATACTATATAAGGCTTTGGGTTACTCCTCCTATAAGGTTGACCTTTTAGACATTATTCGGTAAAAGAACAGAAGCTAAGAGAACCGGCAATGATGCGGGTCTTAACATGGTATCAAAGTCAAGTTCGATTGTGGTTTGACAGCTTGTTTAACACCCATAAATAAGGGTAGCTTGTGAAGGGTTTGTTTGGCCCATTTATACACCCCGATATTGTCCAGCCCGGTTTGGGCTGAAGGGGTGTGTTAAAGTATTTGTTCCACATCGGAAAGCTATAAAACAATAAAATACTATATAAGGTTTTGACTACTCCTCCTATCAGGTTTGATCTTTTAGGATGAAACTCTAGGTCTTAACAAGGTCAACACGACAAATCTATGTGGGCCAGTCATGCACCTTGTCCATCTATTACTGTCAAGCTTGTCTAACTAGGGACATATCTTAATACTTTCAGAATCCAACATAGACATATATTCTTTATACTCCTTCATTGTGGTTGCACTATAATCTGCCTTAAATTTCCAATCAATCCCATCAAAACACCCTTTGAAATTAGAAATCAAATTCCTCCGAAAGTGTTCCACACAAAAACCATGAATGGCTTGCGGAAACACTTTAGAGGCAACAGTGATTATACATTTACGACGGTTAGACACAATATACATATTCTGGCAGAATTTGAGTGAGTCACGCAACTTGGATAAAAAAACACAACCAAGAAGCTTTGCTTTCTGAGTCACCAATACCAAACTCTAAAGGAACAGTTTGACGGTTCGCATCTTGTCCACAAGCAATAAGCAATGTACCTTTATAGTAGGCTTTTTCATGAAGGAGTCATCCACAATTAATACCGGTCTACAGAACTCCCAAGCTTGAAGCCATGCAGCAAATGAGAAGAAGAAAATATGGAAACTCGTTATTGTCACCTCTAATAAGATCTTTTGAATAGAAAAAGTTTGATTTGCAAGAATGTATGGTATCGAAGCCAATAATTTGTATGAGTCTGCATCAGAACCAAAATGCTTTTTCATGGCAGTTTTTGTGGTTTTCCGGGATTCTTATTAGGCATAGAAATGTTGAATTCCAAAGTCATCTCAAGTCTTATTTGTTTGGGGATGTATGGCTTCTGTGATCCATCAAGGTACTTGTGCACCACCATATCACCGATGATATTTGACGTAGCCTGTCAGTGTTTTCCCTATCTGAAATCAACAGAACAAGTATGCTGAGCATTGAACTTGCAAGGAAAATTGGTTATTGCAAGTATGTTAATGCCATGTTAAGTACATGGTAATTGCATAAGACGATGGCAATAAAGAGAAGAAATGTATACACGCTTTGTGAATAACTTCGAATCTCAAACATGTCAACCCCCTTAACCCCACAACATGCACAACCCATTTGTACTTATCAACCACACAAACAACATGCAAAGAAGTCTTGTTTGATGTGCGGGTTTCACATCGGAAAGTATTAGAAAGAGCATACATCTTAAGTTGGTAAAGATGTATGAGTACATCAACAATATGGTGAATGTAGTGTTTGAGAGGAAGATGTTTAAATAGGGAAGAAGGGGGGGATAAGAGTTTGAGTAGTAGAACCGTCTGATGACGAAGAATCACTACATGATGAAATGTTGCCTGATTCATCAACATTAGATATATTGATAGGTGAAGAAGCAACTTGGTTAGATGGTAAAGAAAAAAGAAATTCATGTGAAGAAATAGAATGATCAACTAAATGTGTGATATGGCAAAGAAATATCAACCTGGGCATTTTGATGAGTGATGAACTTTACACACAGGGGATTTTTTTGAAAATCAGATTACACAAACTTGAGATGAAGATAAAATTGGAATGTTTCCTCACTATTAATCCAAATAGGGGGCAACCATCCACCATATATAACAAAATCTAAAGAAATTGTGTGGCTTGAACTGATTTAAGATAACACACATAGTTTCAATGAATGGCATGTACGTCGAATCAATGAATGGCATGTACGTCGAATCTGGAGGAACATGAATACCACAACTTTGGGAGTGCATGAAGGTGTAGTCAGATGACCACAAACCATCCGATTGCAACATAATCAATAGGGGAGGATCCATCTGAAAAAATAATATGAAAAATGAGAAGTAATGGCTACTAAAATAAGTGACAATAATATATAAGCACACATGTAACATAATATCATTAAAATCAAGTCACAAACTATAACTTGAAAGATGGCATCTAGGACAAAAACTATGGCAATAATTAGTTGCAAAGTACATGTGAAATAATAGTGGATTGGGCACAAAGAACACACATTCAAATCATGATCAATATAATGCAAAAAACATTCTAAATCGTGTTAAAGTACATCAGAATTGTGTTCATGAACAAAAAATGGAAATCAAGTACATAATTATGTTATAAAATACAATCAAAATATAGAAACACACAATAGAGTCTTGCAACAACAATTCATTTAGTTTAAGTAATGAAATAGTAACATAGACATGAAGAGAATCACATGTTGCTATTTTTGAGAAATATAATCGTAAACACAAAAATTGTGAAGAAGCACGTAATTAATGAAATAGATGCAGAGTTAATGATCAAATATGAAGTTCTATATGAAGTCCATACTATATTGAAGGAATTAGCTACGTGAACGTAAATACCCGCGACATAGTTTCAAGGTAGTTGTCTGTGGTGGAATTAGCTACGTGAACGTAAATACCCACGACATAGTTTCAAGGTAGTCGTCCGTGGTAGATGAAGAACGGAGATAAACTGCGGAAGACCACAACAGCTGAAGTCCGAAAAGCTAAAATTCCTTTCCAACGAGCTGGCGAAAGTCGGAAGAACACAATGAGCGAAAATCGGAAAGAATGGTGAGCCGAAGTCGGAAGATGAAGAGCGGCAGATCAGAAAAAAGAAAGAAAATAAAAGTGACCCGTAATTACACGTGGGAGTTATGAGTTACTATTTTGGCCGTCCCTATACTAGTTCTTTATGCCCTTTATTTTTCTTTAATTTGGGGCTTCTACAAGTGTGAGTTCCGGCACTGTCTGATAGCATAAAAGCTACTATAGTTGTCCCTGCGAATATCAATTTTTCCGCTTCCCGTCCTTTTAAATCAAGGGCAAACTTGTCCAGTCAACTCCAAATACTCCTTTTCCTTATTTCTTGTGCCAGTCAACATTGGCTAAATAAATGGGGACGGAGGGAGTATGTTTTTAGTAAGTTTTTCTCCACAATGTCAATCAATGTCTAGATATAGACATTGTGATTGACATTGTTGAGAAAAAGCTTATTTTTAGTGTTAAAATTTAATTTTTTATGTCTCTCATACCACATGTGCACCGTGCATATTATAGCATTGGAGATGATCTAATATTAACATCTTTAATCCTCCATTTATTGTGTCCAAATTATATTAAAAGTCTAAAAGTATTAATTTGATAATACTAATAATATATGAGATTTAAAATGAAAAATATAAAAGTTGAGTGTCCAAAGTCTTACAACACAATAGTCGGAGGTAAAGTGGCAAAAACACAGATTGACAAAGGAGTAGAAAAGGGACTACCTGTTTATGGCGGGAGAAGAGCGAATTTTCCAAACTCACTTCGGGTCCCCGCCAGAACCGTGCCCTAAAATATCGAGAGCATTATTCCAATCCCGCCCAACCGCTCTTTAATAAAACCCACCGACCCGGAATCTCCTCATTTTCCCTTCTCCCCTCTTCCTCCTCCCAACATTTCAAACCCTAATCTCACGGTAAGGATTTTCCGGCGACAATGTTGGAACTTCGCCTTGTTCAGGGGAGTCTGCTAAAGAAGGTTATGGATGCAATCAAGGACCTGGTGAACGACGCCAACTTTGACTGCTCCGCCACCGGCTTCTCCCTCCAAGCCATGGACTCCAGCCACGTGGCGCTGGTTGCCCTGCTGCTAAGATCTGAAGGTTTCGAGCACTACCGATGCGACCGCAACATCTCTATGGGGATGAACCTCAATAACATGGCCAAGATGCTCAAGTGTGCCGGAAATGATGACATCATCACCATCAAGGCTGATGACGGCAGTGATACTGTAACTTTTATGTTCGAAAGCCCCAGTAAGTTCCTTTTTTAAAATTAACTTCAGTTATCTTGTTAGACCTCAATGTTTTCCGTTACACATTCGACTCTTAGTTCAGAAAGTACAAGGTATGCCATTTTTTAGCGCGGCCTTTCCCAATTTGCAGTTTTTGTTTTTGTTTTGGCATGATAAACATTTTGCACGCAATTATTGTCTCAATTTTCTAATAAACTTGTAAGTGTGTTGGAATTCATGCTTTGCATCTGGGTACCACAATATAGTCTGTTTCAGATATGCTTGAAAATGCGCTTTTTATATTGTGATTGGATTGTTATAGTATTATGTTTCATGTGAAATTAGATTCTACTACTTGGCCCTGGCCTGACTGACTTTTTTGTGTGTGATGTTCTTCACATTTGAATGTGATGGATACTAGCACAAGACAAGATTGCGGATTTTGAAATGAAGCTTATGGACATCGATAGTGAGCATCTTGGGATCCCAGAAGCAGAGTACCATGCTATAGTAAGGATGCCATCAGCTGAGTTTGGTAGAATTTGCAAAGACCTTAGCAGCATTGGTGATACAGGTAGTTTTTTTCATGTCAGGATTCATTTCTATTCTGGATAAACACTTTTGTGTATGAAGCATCAAGTATGTAGTAACTAGTAATGTAACAGGTCTCATTAAATTTGATGATTGCAGTTGTTATCTCGGTGACCAAGGAAGGCGTAAAGTTCTCAACGAGAGGTGATATTGGAACTGCAAATGTGGTGTGCAGGCAAAACACTACTGTTGATAAGGTGCTATATATCTTCAAACACCTATCATCTGCTTGATCAAAACACCACATATAGTTCTCGCTTTTCCTTAAATTGTTAGATCTGCTTGAACAACATCTTACAGTGGACCCATAATCATTGGCTGGTAGTAGATTAATCAAGAACTTTATTTTTTTTTCATTTTGTCCATGTAGAGGAGCCTTTTCCATCATTTGCAATGGAGCCAAAGAGTCGCTATATTTTGGCTTGGTATTAGTGTGGAATAAAGCAAAATGGCTCACTAAATTGTCAGCGCTTCTGGACCCGATTGTCACTATGGGTCTTTTGTAAACAATATTTTTGTGCTTTAGTACAAGATTAAGATTGCATAAATCCGACCCCCCTTGCCCCACCGTAGGTAGGAGCCTTTGCAGCTCTGGGGTATGATGATGTTGATGTCCATGTAGAGGAGCTGGATCCACATTCCTTCTTTTTTGTCTGTGTAGGCTATATTTTAAACCCATGCAAAGTGCTCAGGAAAATTATTTGTCAGTGTTTATAAAAAACACATGTAGTACAAATGAAAGTTAAATTTGATTAGAATTTTTAAGCGTTAATATATCTTAATACTTATTGGTCTTTATAAAATTGACCCTACACCATTGGCCTCTTTTGGTTCTTGTTGAAACCTAGAAAATGCTAACTAAAGAATATAGGAATGAAAGTAGGCAGAAATTTTGGAAGGAAAAAAACCTGAACATGAAAAACCGGGTCTAACTCAATAAATCAAGTTTAGTTATTTCACTTATTCGATTGACATAGTATTATATATACACATATGCATATGCATACGCATATAAACACATACATCTTTTATATAAAGACAAAAAATAGTCTAAAGTATGTGAAATTTTAGAAAGTTGTCCATTTTTTTGCATTTTCCAAGCCAGGGCCAAAAACTAACATAAAAATGTTACTCTTTTAAGCATTTCCCCCCTCCTCCAATACCATTTCTGGGTTCCAAACGTATCCAAGATTTCATTGATGACTGATTGACTGAATTCAATGATACTCTGAGACTGATTTCTTTAGTTACTGATTTGCAGCCGGAGGAAGCAACAATCATAGAGATGAAAGAGCCGGTGTCTCTCACTTTTGCTTTGAGGTACTTGAACTCATTCACCAAAGCAAGTCCGTTGTCTAACACGGTCACCATCAGCTTGTCTTCTGAACTTCCCGTAGTTGTGGAGTACAAGATTGCTGAGATGGGACACATAAGGTTTTATCTGGCACCCAAGATTGAAGAGGATGAAGAGGATACTAAACCTTGAGTTCTTGATCTTCACTTTTCTTCATCTAAAGTAGGGTTTTGAAAGCATATTAGCTTGCTGCACTATTGATTTCTTATGCTAAATGTATGGAGGGCTGTGTTAATGTTTTTCCTTGGCTTGTCTAATGTTTCATCCAAAATTATATCCGATATGTTGAATGTTTCTTATTTCTCTCAGTTTAATGACACTAAGTGTCACGGCCCACTGACGTGATGGATAATTTGAATCAGTGAGAGTTCCATTGATGTAATGGAACTGACCACTACTGCTGGTGGCAGGGGCGGCCCTAGGGGGGTGCAGCAGGGGCTGACGCCCTAGGCCCAAAAAGTGTAAAAAATTTAGGCCCAATCTTAAGGCTTTGTATTAAGAGTGAGTAGATTGAGTTTTTAGGCTATATCCACTAACTTCATGCGGCATAGGGAAAATAGTTCTGAAGGCATAGAAAACTTTTCAAAAAAGACATGACTTTTTGTTGGGCTGGTGCGTATCATTGAATTGTCATGTAGGCCCTCACTATTTCAAAGTTCAAACCTCAATATTCCAATGTTTCCTTATAAAAAAACTTCCATCGGTCAATATTCAATAGAACATAGATAGTTGACACATCAACTTCTTGAGCCTCTTATCCTTCTTAATGTGAACATATATATATAATTCTAACTTCTGATAACCTGGAGTCTTCTATATCTTTTATTACTCTTAGGTCCTTGTATATTTTGCATTTATGATCTTACTTATTTCAAGATCAGTTATCATAGTTTTTCAACCTTTTTAGTTTTCATTGAGTTTACATTTTCGTTGATTAGTCAGCTTGTTTTTGACTTATTGAGCGTGAAATTGCAAAGTCACATTTATATTTTGTCCCGATTTGAGTTGCAATTTTTGAATTTTAAGGTTGACTAGTGATAAAATTAAATCATCCCGTGATAGTTTTAAAATTTCTTATAAAAAATTGGTTTTCAATAAATTTATAAATATAATAAATTTCAAGGTGTAACAAAAATGTTCTCTGACTATAATTTTACTTGCTTAATACGGTGAATTATAAAAGGCTTTTCTTTATTATACAATTTTTGAAGTATTATTATTATGCGTTTGATTAGACAAAAAATATTTTTTAATATTTTTTTTGAAATTAGGCCCATTATAAACTATTTGCCCCCAAGCCTTGAAACTATCAGGGCTTGAAATTAGGCCCATTATAAACTACTTGCCCCTGGCTGGTGGATCCATCTTCTTAGGGCTTGTGTGGTTGGTTGATTTATAATGTGACTGGCATGGCCTAGGAGGCTAGGATCCATTTTTAGATATTGAATTTTCGGTTTGGGCAGGTAGTAGGAAACATGTCGGGTGTGGTTGGCTTTTTTTAATGATAAATAACATTATACTTGTATTGCTCAAAGTAAATCCTTTTGACTTCAATGACTTGGATGGGAACTTGCTCATAACTAATGTTAAAGACTGGATAACCTGGAATACAAGTGCATGCCTTAGGACAAAATAGGAGTAATATACTAAATACTAATATGATTATCAAATCATTTACAAAGAGAGACATGAAAATTGTTGTATTTCAAGAGCTCTAATACTATCATAAATTTGACCTAAATAATAAGGTAGGCATGGATTCAGGTTGGTCCTCACGGCCAAGAGTCCAAGACCACTTGGCCCTTGTCAAAAAAAATTGAAGCTTGCATTTGACTTGTATTATTCTGGGTCAATGTTGGTTTCGGGTACTCGGATGGTTTGGACTAGGGGTGGACTCGGGTCGGACTGCCCGGCTTGGTACCCGGTCTTGGGGCCGGTTCGGGCCAACCGGAACCGCTCTAATCCCGGTGCGGGCTCGCCCCCCCTAAAATGCGAACCGGCCCGGCCCGACCCGACCCGGAACCGCCGGCTACCCGGGCCGATTCCGGTTTCCCCATTCCCAAATAAAAGCCCGGCCGGGCACATGCCCGAACCGGAACCGGCCCGCCCCGGGTCCATCCCTAGTTTGGACTCTGGACATGGATATGGTTTGTTAATTTATTTCATTTTTTTGCTCGTTTGAGGGTGCCTTTCTAGTGGAATTTTTTTATAATTTTTTAAAGCATGTTCTTAATCAAGTTTAATTCATGCACACCAAATTTAAGCTTAAAATTCAACCGAGAAGGAAGTTAAATAAATTATTGAAACGTATTGCACATTATGTAAACATAAAGCGCAATATGTTTCAATAATTTATTTAATTGTCTTCACGATTGATTAAGATCCACTAATTTTTTGTGGATAAACTAGAATTGATTAAGATCCTGCTCAAAAAAGTTCATCAAAAATTGACACAGGGAAGGCCTCCGAAACGGGCAAGTCCTCACAGCACTTCCCGTGCGGACCGCTTGACAAGATCTATTCTCTCTCTCACATGTTTGTATGTGTGTGCAAATTAATCATAGCCATGCATGTGAATGAGATTACCGTGTATTTGATGGGAACACCCCCCCCCCCCCCACTGCCCACATACAGTTGCAACAAAATAGGAAAGCTTCCCTTAATATCCCACTAACCCACTAACGACTGAAATTTAAAGGCCCAAACAATATGTGCCCTTGATTTTGTAATATTGAACAGATGAGATGAACTTGTATTTTGTACGGGAAACATACTTTGTATCTGATCTTAGCTCCAAATAGATATATACTATGCACAGGGGCGTAGCTAGGAGTGGGCCAGACCTGGCCCTGGCCCAGCCTAAATTTTAAAAATGTCTTTATTTTTAGTGTAAAAAATTTCGTGTAAAAAATTTTTTAAAAATATTCTTTGTACCAGCCCAGTCTCACCCAGTGTCCTGGCTCCCCCCTGACTATGCATAAAGCAATAACTTGACTAAAATAAACTTCGAATGGAATGTATACATGGGGGGGCATGGGGTCCAAGATGCTAAAACTTAATGCCGTATAAATAAATACCAGTAAGGCAGTACATACACTGAAAGACCAATATCTCATTACCAACCATTATTAGCTATAGTATGTCGCAGAATTAAGGTCCACAAGAAGCACAACATATTCTATTTCTATCATGGCCAAATCTCATGTATCGGCATGGCATTCCTGAAACCCCTCCTTCCATTAAAAACATCAAACCTTCATGCCTCCTCAGTCCTCTATTTGAAAAACGAACCAAATCAATTCTCAGTTACTTTTGTAATACCATCAACAGGCCTGAATAAATGCAAATGCAAGCTGTCCTTTCTTTTCTGAACAGATGCCTGGTAAAGTTTCTTCTTACCATTCTCTGTCGCCTCCAACGTTAGGTTATAATGGAAACAAAAAAATGTATCAAGAGTTGCCTTTATTACTCTCTCAAAATGGAGTTCCATATCCTCTTCTTCTTTGTTGTACTGTTCCACTGCAAAATGCCCCATAGTTTTTATTTTGTCAGAAACGTCCACATCCCAGCCATTATGAAATGTCGCAGGAGTATCTTCATCAAAAGTGACTCGATCCACACTAGAACCCTTACTGGAATCATCCTTTCGTTGAAACTTGTAGCAATCTCTGGGGTACCATAGCACCTCTGCTGTCATAAAATTGGGAACAAATTCACCTTCGTCATGCCAATAATAATAGCGATTAGGGAAGAACATATCCCATTTAAACTTGAATGCCACTTTCTTGGATTGCTGAGGAGGATTATCAGCATCCCCAAATAGCAGCAACTCCATCTCGTTTTTCGGGCCAACGAGAACTTGTGCTATGAACCTTTTTTCGACCCCGCCAGCATTTGGATCAATTGCATTGAAAGACAAATAGTACATGTTACCAGAATAGTTTGCTTTAACCACATTTAAGAACTGGGTATGAGTCCCCTTGGATTTGTTGTGTGTATCAACGGCAAATCGAGCAGGAATTGTGACCTTAGGATCATCTAATGATCCTTTGTAAGGACGAATTATTGAAGAATAGTTACCAAGATCTACATCAATCCCAAAACCCATAGTAGTTTCGACTTGGTGGCAATATCGGCTGTAATCCGGCAGTTCCTCAACCCCATAATCGATAGTAGATGAAAATTTCCTAATGGAAGAGTGAGTACCAGTGCTAAAGTTACTAACCTCTTTGCGGTGGTTTGTTAAAGTGTATGTGGTGGCGTGAGCAGCTGCAACATAGCCGGAAAAAACTTTTGAGTTGTTTACTTTGAAGCTGTTCACAGAACTTCTATTGATCGCAATACGAAGCGCCATATCCACCGTCACTTCTGTATTTCCAGTTACAGATCGCGAGGAAACAGAGATAGGCGATACAGATCGCGGCGAACGATCTTCTCTCCTTCTTCCGATCAGCAACGAACGTCTATGATATTTGGGCCCGGGTTTACTTCGTCAAGTCGTTAAGGCGCGAATAAGCCGATTTTTAAGTCTTAAATAAATTAATAATTTTTCGAGTCGCGTTTTTGGAGGTGCTTTGGGATTTTGGGATGAATTTTTTTATGAAAATTTATAAGCATGTTATTTATGAAGATTAGATTATATACATATAATTTCAGATTAAAATTTGGTATAGAAGTCAATTAAATAAATTATTGTAAACACTGCATTTTATGCATATTTTAAGTTGATATCCTAAATGAATTTTAAACCGAAATTATGTGGACATAACCTACACTTGATGAAAAACATGCTCACAAATTTTCATAAGGAAATTTTACTTGGAAGCAGATTAATATGATATGATTATTTGATTAGTTTATTAATTGACTTCATACTTACTTGATGGTTTGATTTCTTACTTGTTGATTGCTATCAATTGAGTGTTGGTGTTATAATTTTGGTTTTGCTAGACATAAACTTTCAATTATAAATTTAATTAATTTCAAGGTGTAGTAAAAAATGTTTGAATCTGAATAAGATAAAGAAAAATGATGAGAAGATTAGAGAAAACGACAGTAAGTAAAAAAGTTCAATAGAATAATTTGTTTGTGTAGGGAAGCCAAATTTTGAATGTCCTCCTCATTCCACAATATGATTTAGCTACCAAAAATGAAATTTAGGAGTTAACAATAGTAGAGTTGATTCCTTAAATATGACTAAAACATTGATAAAGTTCACAAATAGGATCTCCCTATTTGTTTTTCCCTAAATATGCACCTTTATTCAAATTTGTGCAACTTTAATTTCATTAAGTTTTCAACCGTACTTTTTATTTTCCAAATAAAAATACCCCACACTAGGGCTGGACTCGGGCCGGTTCGGGCCCGGTTCGGGCCTGGGCCCGGCCGGGCCTCGGGCCAGAAAAGGGAGGCCCGAGCCTGAACCGCCGGTGGCCGGTTCCGGTCCCGGTTCCGGGCCAAACCGGGCCGGGCCGGGCCGAACCGGCCCAATTAATATTTTTTTTTTGTTCTCCTATTTAATCCCCTACCCCTCCCCCTCAACCCCAAACCACCTCAAATGGCCCAAAATACCTAATCCAACCTAACACTTAAAAAAATTTCAAAAAAAAAAAAAAAATTAAAATCCGGCCCGGACCGGGCCCGAACCGGCTGGGCCGGTTCACCAAAACCTGGACCCGAGCCCGAACCGCCCAGCAGCCGGGCCGGGCCGAACCGAACCGGTGGACCCACCGGGCCCCGGGCCGGGCCGGGCCAAACAGTAACCGGGCCGGGCCGCCCGGCCCGAGTCCAGCACTACCCCACAGCTAATATTTTTTTCCCTAAAATTCTTCAACCCATTTGTATACTCTATGAAGTTAACTAATTATGGGCTTATTTTACTTCGATTTTATTCTCAAACTTGCGTATTTATTTTTACTAAATTGCACACTTGAATCAGTAAGAATGCATAGCTAGTACAAGTATATTTTAAACCTATTTTTATATCATGATACACATTAATTGTTAAAACGATGCATGGTTTGTGATGCACGTTTGTTATTAAAATAATGCACAACAACACCATTTGAGACATGGCGAAAGCAGCAACGGAGAGGAAATGAAAACTATGGTATACATAGGGCAAAGTAGAGGTAGGTTTCACGACCAGAGCATCGTTCCAAAAACGCCATGTAAGGGGAGAAACATCATTTCCACGATGTCGGGATGAATCCGAAGAAATCTGTAATATATCTCCGGGTGGGGAAGAATACGTAGTTCTTTCCATGTGTGCTTCAAGTTATTCAAAAATGGAAGTGGAAGACTGGTACATCCTACATGGAAGAAGAATATGGATTCAAAGAAATTTGACTACAAGGCATAAGGGATATAAATAGAAGTGATATAATAGTCCTAAATAGGAGTAAATTAATCTTTAAATGCACAAATAGAACTATGTTATTTATCTTCTCAAAGTAGGGCTAAAGTATAGCATATCCTCCTATTATACCCTTTCATAACCTAATAGGGTAATCATAATACAAAAAAAATGTTAAAAAAAACATTTCTAAAATATTATTTAAAAAATAATAAAATAATAAATATTTTTAAAAAAATAAAAATAAAAATAAAAACTTTAAAAATAAATGAAAAATAGATAAAACACCTTAAGAAATATAATTAAAAAATTGTGGAGGCCTTTCCCATAGTTTCGGCCAATGCCTAGCCAAGTTTTCCCTGATCGGCTAAAAATGTCATTTTGTGTAAAATTGTCATGCAGGTGAACTTTTTACTCTTTGAAAATGTTTTTTCTCAAAACTGCCATCAAAATAGCATTTCTGACACATGCTGGCATTTTTCGGTGATCGGAGGTGATGGTGTTGGGAGGTTGCTGAGGTGGCAGCGTAGCCTGCATACATACATACATACATATATATATATATATATATATATATATATATATATATATATATATATATATATTCACTTTATTTATTTTATTTTGACTTTTTATTTTTTTGTATTTATTATTTTTATTAATATTTTTTAATATTTATTTTTTTCTTTTCTTTTTTTACATTTTTATTAAGGAGTATAAATAAAGTTATGTTATTACGTTTATATGTTAATCCTTAATGAAATATGAATTGTATTAAAGCAAAGCAAGGGTAGAATGGGGAAGCTAATCCTATTTGGGGAAATTTTAGCAAGGGAACTTTTATATAGCAAGAAAATTTTTAAGTTATGATGCTATTTTGACAATAAGAGTTTGGGAAAGTTCCCGAAATAGGACTAAAAAGTCTGAAAATTCCAAAATAGGACTGTCATGTTTTTATTCCCAAAATAGGACTATTTACTGCCAAGTTTGGAAAATACTGTCATATTTAAAGTCTGGCACTGCCAAAACATGACAGTAATTAGTCCTATTTTGGGAATAAAAACATGACAGTCCTATTTTGGAATTTTCAGACTTTTTAGTCCTATTTCGGGAACTTTCCCAAACTCGAGATATTACCCAAAATAGGACTAAATGGATGCAAAAAATGAAATGCCTATTTAGAGAATTCTCCCATAATATCTCTAAGAGTTTCATTTAGTCCTATTTAGAGAATTCTCCCATAAAAAAATATTTTTGCAAGCTTGAACTCGGAATGGAATCCTCCTAACAATAAGCTACACGTGAAACTAAATGGATGCAAAAAATGAAATGCCTATTTTTCCCAAATAGTAGCCACGTGAGTAATGTAAATCTCCAAAAATCCAAGGTTTTATATTCTTTCTAATTTCTCTCCTAAGATGATTTTCTTGAATTTAAATCTACACACATGTGTGTGTGCGTGTGTGTATAAATTTAAAAGATTTTCATTACCACTTTTTAGTATAATTTCAAACCCCAACATCTAACAATACATTTCTAATTTTCCTATTGGATACGGTTATGAATATGATTAGAAATTCATATACAAATATCAATGTAAACATAATATGGATGTTTCATCAACATTTAATTTGAACATTTCTAACTTCTATTGAATACGATTATAAATATGATTCGAAATTTAAATATAAAATGCCAATATAAATATAATATGAATGTGATATAGAATTTCATCAGAATTTAATTTGAACATTTCTAATTTCTATTGAATATTATTACAATTATGATTAGAAATTTAAATATAAATACCAATATAAATATAATATGAATGTGATATAGGGTTTTCATCAGCGTTTAATTTTGTTCAAAAAGATTAGTATGGTGCAATTATATTTACCCCTAATACTTTTTATCATATACTACGTATTTGAATTATTAAAAGAATATGAAAGCAATAAAAAAATTAGTTATTAGTTGTTTCTAAAGAATTCCAATAGTATTTTTTTTACATTATTTGGAATTTTTTTACATCACTTATGTAGTGTAATTTTAATACTATTTGTTCTTATATAATCAATTATTTATGCCTTTTTAATAATTTACATAAAAGTAATTATCAACTATAATTCATCCTTAGGTACTACGGAATAAGGAGGATGAGAGTCTACAGCTAGTACTGACAATAGTATCACCAAAGGAGGAATGGATAATGTTGAGGGGTGCCAGTAGACCAGAAACGCAGAAAGATTTGGGAAGAGCAGCCACAAGAGGACCCAGTTGGCGAGAGTATGTCTCTGGAAAAAGACAAACTTTGCCTTTTATTGTTGTTTTGCATTTTAATTTACACATTGAGATTGTTGTTTTTTGTTTTTATTTTATTTGGTGCTGTAAAACTTTTGCATTAGAATTGGGTGATAAGAGTCCTATGATAACCGTCTTTGGCTCAATTATGCCCAATTTAGGATCAACGAGTTATATTACTTTGTCAAAAATGATTACCTGAGTCTGGTTCAAAGACGAATGATTACATGTGATTCTTTGTTTTTTTTAACCCCTATCCGAATGCTGTGATAACAATCTAAGCCCCTTCTTCCAAAAAAAACTACAATTCATCCTTCATAAAAAACAATTAATCCAAACACTTTAAACTAATTCTCTATTATATTCAACAGAAGCAATACCAAATACTTCTAGTACAACCCCTTTTCACAGAGCAAATTAGTCATGCTGTTTTCGGACCTGATTGGGGTTTCAGATTAAAAATAGCCAATCTGGTCCACCGTGCACTTGTTTAAAATCAAGACTGGGTCCATGCCTACTTAAGGGCAGGGGTGGATTCGGGCCGGGTCGGGCCTAGGCCGATCGGGCTTTCTGGGATTTGGGGTTGGGCCCGGGACTGGCCTGGGTATCCACCGGGTCCGATCCGGGTCCAGGCCGGGCCTCGAGCCTCTTTTTTTTTTTTTTTTTTTTTTTGCTTTTTCTAATTAATCCCCACCCCCCCAAACCAGCCCAAATGGCCCAAAATACCCAACCCGGAAAGTTAAAAAAAATTAAAAATAAAAAAGAATAAAGCTCAAACCGGGCCCGGAACCGGCCGGGCCAGTTCCATATATCCCAGACCCGTACCCGCCCCGGTTACCCCCCTAAACCGGGCTTAGACCCGGAACCGGTACCTGGTTCCCAGGCCGGTCCGGCACAATACCGGGCTGGGCCGGTTCCCGGGCTGTGTGGCCCGAACCGGGTCCAAGCCTACTTGAGGGCTTAAATGAGCAAACAAGCAAGAGTTCAAATCTCAAGGATATGGCCTCGTAGCCTTGTAGGTTCTACTAAATTACCCTTCGTCAATTTGATAATACCAAATAGTCACCACATAGTATATGGCTACATGTAACGATACAAGTCGCCAAAGAACAGATATGTGTTCCCAGAGTGTCTTGCATGAGAAAGACAACCTTGATGCCCTTAACTCCGCTTCGTATTCTATCCAAGAAATGTTGGACTTAAATTATCAGCATAATGGCAGTATATATTGCTTGATATTGTACATCAGCACAGACAGGACAAAATCTTGAAATAAAAATTGAAGAAAAATATCAGCATTGCCTCCAGTCCTGCCCTGCATAAACTGCTTGATCCCCAAGTTCCTCTTCAATTCTAATCAGCTGCGTTAAAATCATGGAGCATTATATCTCTCAGAAGAAAGCAGCAAGTGCAATAATAGTTTATCTAAAAAGAAATATATGCAATAAAGGCTCTCACATGTCTTAACCAGATGTTAAACCCCCCTTTTAGTTGTGAACATATATCAATCCCTTTTTATATTTTGTTATGAACAAGGTGTTATTTGAATATTTGGTAAGACGTTAAGAAACTTAATGTTATCAAATGCATGTATAATTACATGTACACTATAAATATGCTTTCCCTCTCTCTCTGTCCTGCCAAAAATCCATGCTTCAAAAGTTCAGTTGTCTACGAAAAGACTCCAATTTGATCAAACAAATCTAATAAACATAAATTAAAAATATGAAAAACTTGGTTAAGCCAACAAATAAATTTCAAAATTGTATGTACAATTCCATAACTTTTAAGAATTTTGCCTGCAAATATAAAAAAAAGTTGGGTCTTGATCAAGCAATAGTCATTTTTATGGGACTGAGAGTATTTAATTACTACGTACATTATATGTTAATATGTTATTACTGTCTACCCAACTCCACAAACCTGTAATGTTTAGCAACAGATGCCCCTATTATGAATGTTGCATTACTGGGCAACCTACATGTTTATATACTCAAAATAGTTTCTCGTCTTTCTACCCCTTTCATTCAGGAAGCCTTGAATATGCATATGTTTCATGTGACACATTTGAAAGAAATGACACAGGGTGAAGCGCTCTAAGAAACAAACCTGGTTGTACTTAGCCAGTCGCTCTCCACGGCAAGGTGCTCCTGCTTTAATCTGACCTATCGCAAGGCCAACGGATAAATCAGCTATGAATGTGTCCTCTGTTTCACCACTCCTTTGGGATATCATCACTCCCCAATGGGCATCCTTAGCCATCTTCACTACTTCAATAGCTTCAGTTACAGTCCCAATCTGATTAATCTAAATACCGTCTCAACTATGTTAAAATATGGTTAAGATATCTAGATATGTTCAATTATACCATGGAGAGATGTAAATATGGTCAAATGTGCCCTTTTATTAGAAATTCAAACACCAATAAGCACACACCTTTAGAAGAAGGGCATTGCACGTATTTTCCTGTATGGCCCTCTCAATACGTTTAGGATTCGACATTAATAAATCATCTCCAACTACCTGAAAGAAAATCAACGAAGGACAATGAAACAAATCTGGATTGGAATCTCCAGTAACACTCTGTTGGGCTGTAGGCTTCGGCCCACTCAGACCTGGGAGTCATTTAAACAAAGAGCAGCAGCCTGCTCTAGTTAAATGTGCAGGCAGCCCTAGTTGGGCCTATTTCTTTGATGGCAGTCAGGCCCAGAACCTTATTTAAGTGCTTTACCCTAATTGTTTGCCTATATATTGACTCCTGTACTTGTAAAACTATTATCTGTATCATTCATCATCTCAATAAAGAAGAAAACCCTAGTTGCCCCCGTGGATTAGGTCAGTAACACTTACTGGCTGAACCACGTTAATTTCTGTGTGCCGTTTCTTCTCGTTCTTTTCTCGTTTTCAGATTTGTGTGTGTGTGCGCCCTAACCTTAACAACTGGTATCAGAGCCAGGTTAGCCACCACCACATATCTGACCACCACCACTGCTGCCGCCCTGCGTCCATAGCCTCTTTGTGCCGCCAACAGTGTGCTGCCGCAGAAAAACACAGCTGGCAGATTGTAAAGGTCTGGGACAATGGCAGACGACGGAAAAACCAAAGTCGAGAAGTTTGATGGACAAGATTTTGGATGGTGGAAGATGCAAATTGAGGATTTGCTGTGCCAGAAGGATCTGGATCAAGCCTTGACAGGAAAGAAACCAGAAAAGATGAGTGATGATGAATGGACTGCTCTAGACAGGAAAGCTTTGGCTGTTATCAGATTTACCTTAGCCAAGAGTGTGGCGTTTAACATCTTGAAGGAGACTACTGCATGTGGTTTGATGAAGGCTTTGTCAAACATGTATGAGAAACCATCGGCGTCAAATAAGGTATTTTTGATAAGACAGCTAGTAAACACTAGAATGAAAGAAGGTGCTTCTGTTACCTCACATATTAACGAGTTCAATACTATCATATCCCGCTTGCTATCTGTTGATATTAAGTTTGAAGATGAAGTCCAAGCTTTATTCTTGTTATCCTCATTACCAGAAAGTTGGTCAGGAACAGTCACTGCCATTAGCGGTTCAACTGGAACTTCTAAACTCACATTTGAGGGCATTCGTGACATTATCCTTGGAGAGGATATAAGAAGGAGGAGTTCTGGAGAATCTTCTAGTGCTTTGTTAAGCACTGAAGGGAGAGGTAGAAAGAAAGAGAAGGGAAATAGCAGAGGCAGATCAAAGTCTAGAAAGAGGAGCCAATCAAAGCCGAGAAAAGATATTCAATGCTGGAACTGCAAAGAAACTGGGCATTTCAGAAATCAATGCCCTAAATCATCAGAAAAGAAGGAAGTGAATGCAGCCACTGACGATTCAGATGATGCTCTTATTTGCTGTGTTGAAAACTCAACAGAGTCGTGGATTATGGATTCCGGTGCATCTTTTCATGCTACTTTCAGCACAAAGATGATAAAGAATCTACGGACAGGTAATTTTGGTAAAGTTCGTTTGGCTAATAATGACTCTCTTGACATCACAGGGATGGGTGACATAGACTTAAAGACTTCTTTGGGCACCACTTGGACATTGAAAGACGTTCGGGTCATTCCAAGCCTTAAGAAGATGCTGATTTCTATTGGGCAGTTGGATGATCAGGGATTTGATGTTACATTTGGTGAAGGACAATGGAAGGTTGTCAAGGGGAATCTTGTAATCGCTAGAGGCAAAAAGAGGGGTACTTTATATATAAATGAAGCCCCTGATGATGAGATGAATGCAGTGACCTGCGGGCTGAATCCATCCAGTTTGTGGCATCAACGGCTTGGCCACATGAGTGAAAAGGGAATGAAGATGCTCGTTGCAAGGGGGAAACTTCCAGATTTGAAAAAGGTGAATTCTGAGTTCTGTGAACCTTGTGTTCTTGGCAAGAAAAAGAAGGTTTCTTTTTTGAAGACAGGCCAGACACCGAAAACTCAGAAGTTGGAGCTAGTTCACACGGATGTGTTTGGCCCGACGCCAGTCTCTTCCCTGGGAGGATCAAGCTACTATGTGACCTTCATTGACGACTCAACACGCAAGGTATGGGTCTACTTTCTTAAAAATAAGTTTGAAGTTTTCAATATTTTTAAGAAGTGGAAAACTGCTGTTGAATTGGAAACTAATTTGAAGGTAAAGTGCTTGAAATCGGACAATGGCGGTGAATACATTAGCACAGAGTTTATTGATTATTGTGCTGAACATGGCATTCGGATGATAAAGACGGTTCCAGGCACTCCTCAACAGAACGGAGTGGCAGAAAGGATGAACAGAACTTTGAATGAGAGGGCCAGGAGTATGAGACTCAATGCTGGGCTTCCAAAGACGTTTTGGGCTGATGCAGTGAATACTGCTGCTTATCTTATCAACCGGGGGCCATCAGTACCATTAGGTTTCAAGATACCGGAGGAAGAATGGAAAGGAGAAGCTGTCAGGTATGGGCATTTAAAGATATTTGGTTGCAGCGCTTATGATCTTATGAAAGATGGTGACAAGTTAGATGCTAAAGCCAAGAAATACACTTTCATTGGATACGGGGGAGACAGCATGGGTTACCGGCTTTGGGACTGTGAAAGCAGAAAGGTAATCAGAAGTAAGCATGCTACATTCAACGAGGCTGAACTTTATAAAGACAGAAGCACGGCAAACTCAAAGATTCAGAAAGAGCAAATTGAGTTTGAAAATGAAGTCATCAGAAACAGAGAGTCTGAAGATACTCAAGGCAGTGGGAGCATAGAGAATGATTCCAGTACTGACGAGCTTGAGGATAATCAAGGAGATTCTGTTGATAGTGACAATTCAGAAGATGAATCTGCAGTTTCACCCATGCAGCCACAGCCAGTTGAAACACAGTGGGTCAGGAGATCCACTAGAGTCACTAAACCTCCAGAAAGATTCAGTCCATCAGTCAATTACCTTCTTTTGACCGAAAACGGAGAACCAGAAAGTTATCTTGAAGCAGTAAAGCAGAATGATTCGTTTCAGTGGGAGCAGGCTATGAAGGAAGAAATGGGTGCCTTGCACAAGAACAAGACATGGGTTCTTACTAAGCTTCCGCCAAGCAAGAAGGCACTTCAAAATAAATGGGTATTCAGAATCAAGGATGAGCCTGATGGGTCTAAACGGTACAAAGCCCGTTTAGTGGTCAAAGGTTTTCAACAGAAAAAGGGAGTGGATTATAATGAGATATTTTCCCCAGTGGTTAGAATGACCACCATCAGATTGGTTCTAAGCATTGTAGCTGCAGAGGGCTTACATCTAGAGCAACTAGATGTTAAGACAGCATTTTTACACAGTGACCTTGATAAGGATATCTATATGGCACAGCCTGAAGGATTTCAGATTGCTGGTAAAGAAAATCTGGTCTGCAAACTAAAACGAAGCTTATATGGTCTGAAACAAGCTCCGAGACAGTGGTATTTGAAGTTTGATAACTTCATGATAAGGACAGGGTACAGAAGATGTGAGATGGATCATTGTTGCTACGTAAAGAGGTTCAAGAGTTCATATATCATTCTACTTCTCTATGTAGATGATATGTTGATAGCTGGTGCAGATATGAAAGAGATCAGCAGGTTAAAGAAGCAAATGTCTCAAGAATTTGAAATGAAAGATTTGGGTCCAGCCAAACAAATACTCGGAATGAGCATAGTCCGAAACAAGGAGAATGGTTCTTTAACACTATCCCAGGAGAAGTACATTGGGAAAGTGTTGGAGAAATTCAATATGAATGGTGAGAAGACTAAACCGAGAAACACGCCTTTGGGAAGTCACTTCAAGCTTACCAAAGACCAATCTCCGAGAACAAATGAAGAGAACGCAGAAATGGCTAAAGTTCCTTTTGCATCTGCAGTTGGTAGCCTCATGTATGCTATGGTGTGCACGAGACCAGATATAGCTTATGCAGTCGGAGTTATTAGTCGCTTCATGTCAAAACCGGGGAGAGAACATTGGGAAGCAGCCAAATGGATACTTAGGTATTTGAAGGGTACTACAAAGATGGGGTTATGTTTCCGAGGTAAAGACGTAATTTTAAGAGGGTATTCTGATGCTGATTTGGGTGGATGCAAAGAGACGTTCAAAAGCACTACGGGGTACATTTTCACAGTGGGAGGAACCGCAGTTAGTTGGATGTCCAAACTTCAGAAAAGTGTAGCTCTCTCAACAACCGAAGCAGAGTACATGGCAGTTGCTGAAGCCAGTAAAGAGCTGGTTTGGTTGAGAAACTTTCTTGAAGAGTTAGACAAAAAGCAAGCAGATTACTCATTACACTGTGATAATGAGAGTGCAGTGAAACTTGCCAATAATCCAGTGTATCATGGGAAAACGAAGCACATTGGGATGAGATATCACTTTGTTAGAGGGTTGATCAGTGAAGGAACGATGAACTTGAAGAATATCTCAGGTGCAAAGAATCCAGCAGATATGTTCACTAAATCTGTGACGCTGGACAAGCTGAAGTTCTGTGTAACTTCAGCTGGCCTTCAAGAATAATGTTGAGAAGGCAGGTGGCAACTAGGAGAAGCTAAGCACAGATGAAGTTTACAGAAGTACAGAGGAGTGGAGTGCAGTTGATTGTGTTTCGAAGCCTCCAAGTGGGAGATTGTTGGGCTGTAGGCTTCGGCCCACTCAGACCTGGGAGTCATTTAAACAAAGAGCAGCAGCCTGCTCTAGTTAAATGTGCAGGCAGCCCTAGTTGGGCCTATTTCTTTGATGGCAGTCAGGCCCAGAACCTTATTTAAGTGCTTTACCCTAATTGTTTGCCTATATATTGACTCCTGTACTTGTAAAACTATTATCTGTATCATTCATCATCTCAATAAAGAAGAAAACCCTAGTTGCCCCCGTGGATTAGGTCAGTAACACTTACTGGCTGAACCACGTTAATTTCTGTGTGCCGTTTCTTCTCGTTCTTTTCTCGTTTTCAGATTTGTGTGTGTGTGCGCCCTAACCTTAACACACTCAACAGCATAAAATATGCTAACCTGGCATATTCCAAGGCCAGAAAAGTTCTTTGTATGTTCCCAATCTTCTTTGTCAAATGGATCTTCAATTGATACAATTGGATACTCTGATGCAAATAAAATGGACGTAGATGGTAAAAAAGAATGAACATTGAGTCTCCAAGTTTAACAATAGTAAATAGTATCTTCCTAGACAACAGATTGTGATTTACCTGTACAGAGTTCGCTGTACAACTCAACCATATTCTCCCCTGACTTAAAATTTTGTCCGGATTTATTTGGAGTTTTAAAATCCAAATCATACTTCGTGCCTAACATTGACAAGGTATTAAAATCGCTTGTCAGTAAAAGGGTTACATGGGCTATACAAACAAGAAAGCAGTAAATGTTACCTATGCAAAACTGAGTAGCAGCAGCATCAATAGCGATTTTAATTTTCTCGTTGTATCCTGTTCTGCCTACAGCCTCCTCAATAAGGTCAAGAGCTTCTTTAAAGCTGCAAATACAATTTTCCAAATATCAAAAGCTCGTTAAGATGGATAACTCAAGCAAGTCAGAACTTGCCTCGATATGTTTGGAGCCAACCCACCGTCTTCACCAACATTGCATCCATGTGCACCACATTTCTCTGTTATAACAGCCTGCCATTAAAATAATGAATGTTGAACTCAATGAGTATCTACCATATATTGACTATAAATAGGGAAAGAATCTTAAGCATTATCATCTTCTATTTCCCTAGTGTGTCACAATAGACAATAGGGATATGTAGATCCATACTTATAATAATACACTATAATCTAAACAGGCCTATTAGGATGAGTGTCCACCCTATTTCCTGGAATAAAAATAACCATGAAAGTATTGGCTTCTTAAATAACATTTTTTTAGCATTTATGAGTAGTACATGCCAATATTTTCAATGAACTTATAACAGTGTTGCTTTTTCATTATTTTGGCTTATCAAGTTATCATAACATGAAATGGATAAAATTGTTATGCCTCCAATGGTCAAAATTTAAACAGTGTACAGTTGATAATTTGTCAACAGCGATTGGCGACAGAAACATATCAAATGGAAAGATCACGTGATGTGCAATTTTGTTGCATAAAATCACCTTCAAATGATGATAGGTTTCAGAGCCCATTTGCAATGCCTCCTCGAATCTTTTTGCTCCCACAGGGAGAATCATAATTCCCTGAAGCATAAAACAATTGTTAGATGAGTTTTATTAATAATGCACAATAAATTGCTAGAAGAGTAAGAGTTATATATAGAGGTATGCGTACAACCAAAGATAACTAAAGCTTTTGAAAAAGTGAATAATAGAGAAACCGATTAGAAAATCATTCAACTAAAAATTTGTCTCATGCCTCCCGTTCTTAGTAAGCAGATATACAAGTAGTTTATGCTTATCTGTAGATAAATGAGGAGAAACACCAACCCGTATAGCTAAGTTGTTTCCTGCATGCTGTCCACCACTTATGAGAGTGAAGGCAGGGACAGGAAGAAGCAAGTTGGTTTTTCCAGAAAGATCAGCGATGTGTTTGTAAAGTGGGACCTGAAAATAATGTATATTCAAATACATCATAGTCTGTTTGAAAAGATTAAATGATCGAAATGCTAAACTGAAAGGTGCATGCCTCCTTTTCAGCAGCTCCAGCTTTGCAAGCAGCCATAGATACAGCTAAAACGGCATTTGCTCCAAGATCTCCCTACATTCATGCAAAATCACAAAGACTGGCATTAAAAACCTATGCAATCCATATAACTCACAGCTTCAAAGTCACAAAAGCTTGGGCTTTTGATTCTTATTAACTACTCAATGAGATAATACTTTGCCTTGCATTAGCAAAAAGAATCATCAACTGACCCTATGACAGTAGAATCGCCCTGAGGATAGTTTACCTTCTTATCTGTTTTATCCAAATCTATCATCGCCTGATCAATTTGAGACTGAAGTGTTGGATCCATACCAATCAATGCTTCAGATATTTTCTCATTAATATTCTTAACTGCTTTACTCACACCATTCCCAAGATACATCCCTCTGTCTGCATCACGTAACTCGATAGCCATGGCCTCATACCTGAATTTGAGAAACACAATAATATTAGACCACATTGCTTCATTGGCAACATTGGAAGCAGCTTCCCATGATTTAAAGTGAGGCAAAGTGGCTACAATCCAAGAAGTCCATCACTGATATGATACTCACAAAGTCCATCCAACTATGGCATGGATTTAAATCTAACTGCCTGTTTCAAACAAATTAAAATTAAAGCAGAATTTGAAATGGACGGCTAATTAGCATGGTTTCCAGATGTCTCTGCAATTGCTAAAATTCACAGCCAATCCAGCACTCTAACATTGAAAGCTTGAGGCTAACCTCGAAATTGTGGGGAATTAAATATTCAGGCTATGCAAAAGTCTTACATTCCCAAAGAACCACCACTGGGAGAAGAAGCTCGAAACATGCCTTTATTTGTGTACAAATCCACTTCGACTGTAGGAATTCCTCTGCTATCGAGAATTTGCCTCGCTTTCAGCTTAGTAATCACCGAAGGCACCGCTTTCCTCATATGATTAGACTGTAACCAGTGAGATAAAAGGAATCAGTAAATGCAAATCGAAACATAGTCTGTGCGTTCCACTCAGAGAAGGAAGCTGGAGCATACGATGAAGAGGACGGGATCGTTAGTCTTTGCCCGGACGGCAGCATTGACGGCGTCTTCGATTTTCCGGGAAAGCATGTGCTTATCCAGATACTCCTGCACTGACATTTTCTCGTTCTCGTGGGGGGTGAAGACGATTTTTTCTTATGATCCGTCTGATAATCATTGGAATTTAACGGCGGGAGGGCAGGGTTTGATTCGCGAACCGCAGCTGTGTCGGCCTGGCAGCCGGTTTCCTATATTTTGTTCATCCCTGGTCCTCAGGAATAAGGATGTACATGCTACATTATTCCTTTACTTCCGAATAATGTTAATTAAATAAATAATAATTAAAATATTGTTGAAGTTAATCATGATTAAAGAAAGTTGTCATGGTGGTTTTTCTCTTACAGTACGTTTTCTGGAAAGAAACTCTCAGGGCCTGTTTACTAACAGAAATATTTTCTGTTTTTCCAAAAATTTGGAAAACTGGAGATAGAAAAATTAGAAAACGTGTTTACCAAATTGTTCTCTAGAAACAAAAAACCGAAACATGTCTCGCATTTTCCTTCTAAAACAGAAAAGCGAGTTTTAGTCGTTTTCACAATTTGGAAAACGCGGAGCTACAGTGCCAATTTATCGCTCGCCTTCCTCCGCCTATTTATTTCTTCCTTCACTGCGCCTTACCTCCTCTGCCTACCCTCTTAAATCCATAGATTTAACCGCGCCTTACCTTCCTCCCCTATCCTCCTTACATCTACGCCCAACTGCTGCAGTTTGAAGACCGGCCATCTAACAAGGTATTAAACTCGCATGAGAGCTTGGCCGAGCTACAGGTACAAATTTTTCCAAGTAGAGCTTCCCGCACGGCCGCACCACTTCTTCACATGTCAACCACTACCCAAGTTCACCAAACATGGCATCGCTTCTAGGACTTGCATCCCGACATCACGGAATCTCCCGATTCTTCTATCGGCTCCTGTTCTATCAACAAGATCAAGTTAAACTCTCAAATTAAATCAAATTAAATGGACTTCTCACTTTTTCTTGTTCAAAATTCGAATTTGATTAGAATCCTGAAGACCAATTCAGCTTGTTGAAGCCTGTAAATCCTACCCATCCGACCCCTGTAGCATTCTCAGTTGTTAAGATCGTGAAATTGGCATAACTAGCTTAATGTGTTGTTTGTAGTTTAAGTATACTCCGTCTTTTTTTGTTTCTAGAGAACAATTTGGTAAACACGTTTTCTAATTTTTCTATCTCCAGTTTTCCAAATTTTTGGAAAAACAGAAAATATTTCTGTTAGTAAACAGGCCCTCACTTTTTCCTTAAAATTGTTATAACTCTTTTATTATGGTACATTTTTACAAAAAAATATCGGATTTTATATTTTTTTGTGATCTTTCCAACAGTAACAAGCTTACATATAAAAAATTATAACAAAAAATTTATTAAATATCTAGTTTTAGATGGATTCTTTTTTAAATTTTACAAATACATTATTGGTATCATATGAAACAACATAAATAAATAAAAAAATTGGTGTATCTTTAAAAAAAATTAGATTATGTTATGTAATACTCTCTCCGTCCCCCTAAGTTTGGGACGGAGGGGTGTGGTGTGGTTTTTAAGAAAAAGTGGAATTGTGTGGTTGGTATTGAATTGATAAAGTGTAAATAAAGTAATAATGAATTCTAACCACTCAAATGTTACCAAATATGGTATGGGACAAACTTAGTGGGACGGACGAAAAAAGTAAAACGGGACAAACTTAAGGGGACGGAGGGAGTATATAAATATACACTTCTCCCCCTAACCCTAGCCCATGAGTACTTGATCAGGCCCATGTATGTAGCTATATATACCCCCACTCTCCCCCATTGTACTAATCCCTAATCACCATATTCTAATATGTTATCAGCACGACGGCTCCTCCCGATAGAAACCGTCCGCTCCTCCCCACAAAAATAGGATCGCAGAATAGCGACCATCCTCCCCTCAAGCCACAACATCTTCACTCCATCGTCTTCTCCTTTCGCTGAATCATCACCGATCGACTGTCCTCTCATCAAGCCAGATCGATCGGACTTCTCGTTGCCATCCCAGGGATTCATCGACAGAGGGACTTCACCGACTAAGAGATCCAGTAACTTGTTGTCCGCATCATCAATCGTTGACCAGATAATTTTAATTTATAGTGAAAATGGACACAAATGTTGTCCAAATTACTATGAATGGTGAAGATTTGTGTCTTGCGGATAGTGCTACTACGCACACAATACTTAGAAATATTAACTATTTTTCTAAGTTGAAAATGCAAAAGGCAAATGTTAACACCATTATTGGTGCCAATAAATTTATAGATGGCTCCGGAAGAGCCAATCTAGTGTTGCCTGGAGGTACAAAATTCCGTATTGACGATGCATTATATTCCCCCAAATCTAAGAGGAATTTACTAAGTTTTAAGGATATCCGCCAAAATGGATATCATATTGAGACAACCAAAGAAGGAGATACTGAATATCTCTACATAACCGATACAATTTCGGGTATTAAAAGAGTGTTGGAAAAATTACCTGCATTTTCATTTGGCTTGTACTACACGAAAATTAGTACAATTGAATCATATATGACCATAAACCAGAAGTTTATGGATCATGATAAGTTTATTATTTGGCATGACCGGTTAGGCCATCCCGGATCAACAATGATGCGAAGAATTATTAATAACTCATGTGGACATCCACTCAAGAACCAGAAGATTCTTCAAACTAATGAGTTATCTTGTGTTGCTTGCTCTCAAGGAAAATTAATTACTAGACCCTCACCGGCTAAAATTAGAACAGAATCACTTTTCTTTTTGGAACGTATTCAAGGCGATATATGTGGACCAATTGATCCACCATGTGGACCATTTAGGTATTTCATGGTTTTAATCGATGCATCGACTAGATGGTCACATGTATGCTTATTATCGTCTCGCAACCTAGCATTTGCGAGATTACTAGCTCAATTAATTAGATTAAGAGCGCATTTTCCTGATTATCCAATTAAAACTATTCGCCTTGATAATGCCGGTGAGTTCACCTCCCAAGCTTTTAATGATTATTGTATGTCCATCGGTATAAGAGTAGAACATCCTGTAGCACATGTTCATACTCAAAATGGTCTCGCGAAGTCACTAATTAAACGACTCCAACTTATTGCAAGGCCATTACTTATGAGATGTAAACTCCCAATTTCAGCTTGGGGGCATGCAATTTTACATGCAGCAACATTAATTCGCATCAGGCCAACGAGTTATTGTGAATCATCTCCCCTACAATTGGTTTTGGGTAATGAACCAAATATTTCCCATCTAAGAACATTTGGATGTGCCGTATATGTACCTATTGCTCCACCACAACGTACTAAGATGGGACCCCAAAGAAAGTTGGGAATATATGTTGGCTATGAATCTCCTTCCATAATAAGATATCTAGAGCCATCAACGGGGGATTTATTTACAACTAGATTTGCTGATTGTCATTTTGATGAATCAAATTTCCCAACATTAGGGGGAGAAAGAAAGCAGCTGGAGAAAGAATTATGTTGGACTGTACCATCATTATTACATCTTGATCCTCGCACTAAAGAATGTGAAATTGAAGTCCAAAAGATAATACATTTACAAGGTTTAGCGAATCAATTGCCAGACGCTTTTACTGATACTAAAGGAGTGACAAAGTCACTAATACCAGTTGCCAATGCTCCTATTAGATTAAATGTCCCAGCAGGACAAGTCATAGCAAACGAATCAAAAGCACGCATAAAGCGTGGGAGACCAATCGGTTCCAAAGATAAAAATCCTCGAAAAAGAAAGGGAGCAAAGAATGAAAATGGCCAAGAAGAGGATAAAATAAATTTAAGAGTAGATTCTCCTGAAGAGAACATTGACATGACTCAGGTACCTGAAAATGAAGAGATCTCAATAAATTATGTCGTGTCAGGAATTGTTTGGAACCGACATGAAATCGACGTCGATGATGATGAAGAAAATGATATTTTTGCATATCATATAGCGCTAGATATAATGAATGAAAATGAGGATCATGAACCAAGAACAATGCAAGAGTGTAGACGCGGAGATGATTGGCCAAAGTGGAAAGATGCAATTGAGGCTGAATTACAATCGTTAGAAAAACGAGAAGTTTTTGGACCCGTGGTTAAAACACCAGAAGATGTTAAACCTGTGACACCGCACCCGGATGTACTCGAATTTGAAATTTGACATGTATTTGAAATTCCTAGCGAATAAATTTCGTATGATTGATTGGAATATTTAATTAATGTGAGATTAATTAAACTATTTATCGGGTCCATAAAATGAGAACGGACTACCAAAAATTTAGTTGGGTCATAATAATAAATTATAGAAGCCCAATAAAGTGCCAACAAAAGTTGATAAAAATGTTTGGACAACCCGAGCGCTATTTTGGCCCAACCTGCCAGAAATAGCAGGAATAATTGGGAGGGACTTTCTACACCCACTTGGGGTATTCTGCCAGTCAAATATCTCCCAAATAAGTGAAGAGGGGGACAAGGGGATAGTTAGGCACGCAGGGGGTGGGAAGTCTCCTTTGAGACAAGAGCCCATGCCTATGTCCTATCTCACACAATTATTTGTGTTGATTGAGAAGGCATCTCTCATCCATCTCTCTTGCACTCTCTCGGCCAACCATAGGAGTAAGGAGCTCAGGGAAAAGCTCTCCCAAACACCATTGTTGAAGGAAGCTTGAGGGAAGACAACCCAAGAGGAAGGGAGCTAAGTTTAAGGTGAGAATCCAACTAGTGTTCTTTTACTAGTTTTATGATGAATGATTTTTAAGAAATCATGTGGTGGATTAAACCATGAGTTTTACATGTTTAAAAGTGTATAATATTGCTATAAAGTGGTGGTATTTAACTTAGAAGAGTCGTGGAATCGATAGGAGTTGATACCGCCGGAAACCGCCACTCCAAAGGAGCTGTTCGTAGAAGCAGACGACGAAAGCCGCCCAGCTTTCGTGAAAGCCGCCCGGCTTTCACCTTCTGCCCAGATTTTTCGCTTTCGATCGGTTCAGAACGGGGGTTGATCGGAGGGCTTAATAAAGGCAACTATTTCAGCACTTCATAAGGTGAGGATGGCTGACTATGTTGTTTATAATCTTTGGGATAATTTCGTAGGATTACCTGAAGTAATTAAATGTGATCTTCATGGATTATTAATGATTAATAATGCCTAAATGAAGATATTGTTGTCAATGAATAAAGGAGCATAATATACAAATTTAAGGA